ATAAACTTAAACGAATTTATTACATCTCCGAATAGTCATTCAACGGAACTTTTAAGAGCACTCAACCTTGCATTGTCTGCTCCATATGTGGTGTCAATTAACCATATCTAAAGGGACCTTGTATCTGCAATCTAAGTGGATAGGCAGAGTCACCATAAACACAGACAGGCTGGCCAGCTGGTTTGTAGGCAAACCGATGAAGGTCATGTAGTAACTGTGAATCAACAAGCATTTCTCAGTGCATCATGTTTTTTCCTTCTAAAAATTGGTAGGTGATGTTATTAGGTGGCAGTGTAAGAGTAAATGCTGCTGATAATTGGGTTACATAAGTTGTTCATTATATGAGTAATTCAGAATTGTTTTTCTATTTTCATTATGAGTTGATTATAATTTTATTTCAAAAGAGTGAGGGGGAGGGGGGGGGAGGGACAGTCCTCTCTTCCCTCTGGCTATGCTTCTAATAAATTGCTGAATGGATCTCACCTTCGCAATCATCTGAGGGCCACTGGCTTATCAGCGCAGGCTGTTATGTGTATACCCTCTTTAAATAAAGTCGATTATTACTATTACTATTATTATTATTACTATTATTATCATTACTATTATAATTATTATTGTTATGAACAAGAAAATCAAATTTAGCGAAATTAGGTGGAGCAAGGGCCCGCGGGATACATCCTTAGAACATTTTTTTCGAATTTTCACCATATTAATATGTTCACATACACATTTAAGGAGAAACCGTGGCCGAGTGGACAGTGCGTCGGACTCGTAATCCGCTGCTCCGGGGTTCAAGTCCCGCTCTGGCCACAACCTGGATTTGTTTCACGGTAGCTCCCGAATTCAAATCCTCGGCCACGCTTGTAAAAAGTCAACTGGTTTGCCTCCGGCCAGTTAGGATTCTTCACAATTTATGTTCAATTTGAATAATTTGTTTCTGTTGATTATTGTGGGCCTCCTGGAAAGTAGCTTGAAGCTAAGTGTTGTGCCACATTAAATAAGACTACTTTCTTTACTTTACTTTGCTCTACATGCACACCCTCTAGCTACATCTCAAACAAGGACATGGCTGTCCTATAGCCATACAAACCTGAAGATCAAACGTGAAGTTAACAAAAAATAACAGCATTATAACACTTTTCTAGCATTTTAGTTCACACCTTTAATTTCGTGTTTGTTGTCACGCTGTAATTAGTACCCGCTTTTGTATTACATCCTACTGTAAATATTTTATTCATCTACTTGCCTGTAATACAATTATTGCAAATTTAATCAACTGTATTGTGTTCTATATGTATCAGATCTCAAGAACATTGAGTTTTTTTGGAAATTTTCGTTGCATTTCTTTTCTTACCTCCCTAATTTAAGACGACTTTTTCTGCTTCAGTCAAAGCCCAAAAGTGAGGGTATTTTAAGGCCAAATGCCTCCGATGACCAACCACTTCTGATCATTATTCCTACATGGGTTGTGAAAACCGTCCCTGGGCGTTTGAAATCATCAATAAAATTTTGGGGCAACTAGTTGTAGAATCTGTGCTGACGTGAAATTTACATCTATCTCCCGCTTTTTGGTCTGTATCATCCAAATTCCATTCACCTCATCTTTGTTTTATTAACTTAATAACTCAAAAATTTACAAGAAATTTACAAAAAATATGCACGAGGTGAGAGTTTTTGAATAACGCAAGGTGAGCACTTTTTAAGAGCTTTTTTTGCAGCCATATTTGAATTATTCTCGAGGAAACGCTGCAGTTGACGACAAAGATCAAGCGAGCATGTAGTCGAACTTTCTGACAAAAGAAATCCAGGAAGAAACGTGCTAGTACATACATGTCTCTGTGGTGCCTCAGTTGCACATTTTGGCTTGGTTTCATTTGCTAGATAAGTAGCCATTATGTCTACAATGTGCCAGACTCGAAGTGCTTCGTTGCCTTGTTGAAACATTAGATGCGGCGAGAGCTCTCGAAAAGATTGTTCTACTGCGTGATACTTATCGACTTACATGATATGTGCTGGTGGTAAAAAGAGAGTTTGATGCCCTGAAAGCTGATGTAAATCAAAAGGACAATTCGCCTGCGATCTTGTTCAGAGGTCAACTCTGACATTCATTTGGTGTGTTGTGTTTCTAGTCTGCAAAGTTTAAAATGCAACAAAATTTACGGCTAATAAAATATCTGACTTGGTATTTGTTAGGCTTGAGATAGTTGCTGATTCGCCGTAAAACAAGTAAACGCCGGATACATATTGGTCTCCTCTCAGGAAAAGAAAAAGGAAAATGGTTAAAAAAACGGACGCGTACACAGAAAGCACTTGCATATTTTATCTGAGGCTTTCTGCTTACATTTGATATGTAATCTCTCGCTGTCTAATGTCATATCTGGTCTTGAAGTACATAATATATTCCGGCAGCCTGTTTGCCCCCCACCACATTGTAACTGGTTATATGACATACACGCTTGATCACTGAATAATATTGCTCGCTCGGTAAACGACGGCGCGGAGCGTTAATCATGTAAACAGAGAAACAAGGTGAACTAGTTTACGACGGGATTCAGTGATCCTTTAGCAACCTTCCAACATTGTATGTGTTTGGAAATCAGCAATATTTATTTTTAGTTGAGGAGAATGATGCATCAATGTAACAAATGATTATGGGATCAGTTTGAAAGAAGACAAGTGTCAGACTTTAATGCTACAATGCTAGTCACACTACCATCGACTTTCTGAGGCCGAAGACATAATTTATCTAAGACTTAAGGTTACTTCCTACCTTCGGGGTGGCCTTTGAAAAAAATTGGTGCGCGCGCTACTTTCATTAAATCAAAGCAAACTGTACATCAGAAAAAATCCCAATAAATTCGAATTGCGATAAAAATACAATTAAAGTTAGTTTTCCTTTTAGGAAGTGTCAGAAGTCTGTAAGAGAAACATGTATAGACTTTGATTTATCACATTTCAGTAACAAGTACTGCCTCAAAGTGAAAAGGTTGCACCAAGAAGCAGCTAAACAACTTGAAAGTTTAATACGGACTAGCAAATTTTCTTTATTAACTCAACTCACTTTTCAGTAAAAAAAAAAAATCCCTAAAAAGAGTAAAATGTAGTGTCATAGGTGGTTATGAATTTGTGCAAAATGCAAAAGACACTGTAATTATTATGACGATGTAGACACATTCACATAAACATTGTATATGTGAAACACACAAGGATGAAAATGGAAGATTTGAAAGACTTTCCACTGTAGTCTTAGTAAATGATTACGTTCACAGACTTGGCTTGAAATGGAGGAACCTTCTCAAAACCAGCAAAGCATGGCATTGGATGAGCGAAATCGGTCACCTTCCATGACAGATGGAGAGCCGTCAAAATGTCCACAACCTTCCGAGGCGGTCGGTGATCACGCCTCTCTATATTCATCACCACGCTGTTGGGAGATTCCTGCAGAGCTCGTGACTATAAATAAGGTCGTTGGTAGAGGAGCTTTTGGTCAGGTTGCCAAGGCAAAAGTCAGAGGCCTGCAAGGGAGACCAACGACGACACTTGCGGCTGTTAAGATGTTGAAAGGTATCAAATACATAAAGAATGTGACATTCTGAATATAACCCCCTCCCCCTGGAAAAGCGTAACCTCCAGCTTGTAGCTTCGAAAGTTCTACTATCTTCTTAATCCAGAAAGAAGCAGGGCGAGCCCAATCCAGTCTCCCCTCATCCTCCCTCCCCTTTAAATGGGGAGAGGAAGGTTCAAACAGGGTAAGTTTCTAAAGAAACTGTGGTGCTGCGTCGGTGGGGGTAACAAGGTAATTTGGTAATATCAACTAAGTTGAAAATGTAAATTGGCCACCCTAAAGATTAAAGCTGACGTTTCGAGCGTTAACCCTTTGTCAGCCCTTTTGCTCTTACGAAGGACTGACGCTCGAAGCGTTGGCTTTTTAACTCTTTTCCGACGATGGCCAGTTTACAATTTAAACTTAGTTGATATTACCAAATTGCAGAGTAAGGCGGGATCCTTTCAGTAGTATACTTATTCTTGAATCAGTGGTCAAATAAACGTGACCTCAGTAAGTTGATAATAAGATGCTTTGAGTCCAGGTATCACTGAAACTATGAATAATTTGACTAGACCTGCGTGATTGAGACATTACAAGCATCTCACGTGGCCTGAGCTCAAATCTGGAATGTTCTTCCCCCTTTGATAACGGAAGCCGTAAAATTTTCTTCCAAATTAACATTATCTCTCCTACCTCCCACGTATATAAAAGTAGCAAACCCCAAAGATTGCTATTTCTGAATTCGAAATAACAAAATAATAACCCATTTAAACATTTAGCCTCAGTTGGATTAGAAAAAATGTCTCCGCCAAGCATATACCAGTCAGCAATTGTTTTGCGGAAATCTTATGGTAATTGGATTCAAAATCATTAAAGTATGGTCACACTGGTATATAGCAGTGGTATGAACAGTTTTATTATTTTATTTGTCGACTGAGAATAATGCTATGACGGCTACATCAGGATTCTCTGCCCAATTCAGTCGTTCTTCATTACGATAAACTCGAGTAGAACATTTCATAACCTCATTATAATTTCCTGACCACATGATTTTGAATAGGATGGTCCATCACTGAGCAAAATAGAGCTGAGTCAGATAGGATATGTGCTTCTTATTTCGGTTGCGTTACTGCCATTGCTTACAAAGGTAATAGCTGTTGGGTGATCATCTTTCAGAGAACGCTTCTGAATCGGACAGGAAGGACTTGTTGTCTGAACTTCAGTTGATGAAGGAACTCGATGCTCATCCTCACGTCGTTAAACTTCTCGGATGTGTCACGAAATCTGGTAATTATGGAAAAGTATACTTTAACATACCAAACATTTATTTTCGAGAAAATCTCTTGCTCAATAGAGAGATATTTTCACGTATCTCATGCTTTTCAGGACCATTGATGGTGTTAATTGAATATGTTCCCTATGGAGATTTACTTGGATACATGAGAAAGAGCCGGGGATTAAATGACACTTACTTCCAAGACCCAGATATCAAACCAAAAACAAATCTGACCTCCGAGCAGCTGATGAAGTTTGCGTGGCAAGTTGCCGATGGAATGTCGTATTTGTCATCGATACCAGTAAGCAAGAACGCCATATTTAGTTAGTGAACTGTTACACTGATCATAGCTTTTTATTATTTTCGATCTATTCTTCAGGACTCCCTAAAGTGGTTTCGTGATTTGTCTTGATTTATCGTAGATTATCCATCGAGACCTCGCAGCTCGTAACGTGTTGGTCGGAGAAGAGGAAATGTGCAAAGTATCCGACTTTGGTATGGCCAGAGATGGTCAACAGGACAAAATTTATCAAATGAGGTCAAAGGTACCAAACGTTGGTGTCGAAATTAGGAAAGTTGTATAATGGTCTGTATCAGGCTTTATTGGTTGCTCTTCAATGATATCATATCACCGCTAGAATTAGTCAACCAAGGTATAAATCTGTCATCAGTCTACTACAAGAAAAGTTACGAGTTTTATTCTTACCTTTTCTTAACTTTTGCCAATCTATTCAATGTGTTTTTCATTTAGGGACGTATCCCTTTGAAATGGACTGCTTTTGAGGCATTGCTGTACGGAAAATATTCTTCTAAAAGTGACGTGTGAGTACAAAGAACACACAATCATAATTGTTTATTGAAAATGGCATCCAATGAAATGTTGTCAGGTCTGGGAAAAGTTGTTGTATTTACTCTGTAATGTGGTCATTATGCTTTATTGATGTGACATCATCTCATTCAGAAGGAGTGCTAATACACTTTCTGGCTTTTCATTATAAGTACTGGCCCAGGATCTGCCTGCTTAAGTGACGAGTATAGTGACCTACTTTAAAGGGTTTACTGAAGATAATAATTTTCTTTCAAAGACAAGAGCGATTATTTCCCTCAATTTTTCCAATTTGTTTTACAGGTGGAGCTACGGAGTTCTCCTCTATGAGATTTCTACGATCGGTAAGTCGCAAAGCTGATAATGAGGCCGTTAATCTAAGCCTCAGATCTAGTGTTAACACGCCTAGTAGTCGGCACGCTCAGCAGGAAAAAATGAGCGATAGTGCAGGAATTAAAGTATAAAATTACATTTTCAAATTTTCTAAATATAGAGTCAGATAGTTGTTAGAGAGTATCAAGAGTAGCTTTCCTATTCCAGGTGGCTCACCATATCCAAAGGTGAATGGAAGACAGATTTTAACGTTGCTTGAAGAGGGATACAGAATGCCTAAACCACAACACGTGGATGATAAGTTGTATGAAACAATTGTGTTGTTATTTTTTTTTTTTATTATGCTCTCCTACGACGCTTTTTGTGTTGTAGCATTAGCATTTGTGTGTGTGTGTGTGTGTGTGTGTGTGTGTGTGTGTGTGTGTGTGTGTGTGTGTGTGTGTGTGTGTCAAGAGTTTAAGAATTTTTTGGTTGAGTGAAAATTAAACTCGCTTTACATTTTGAGGCAGCCTACCTTCGGGAAACATTGACATAAGTCAATAAACTCGAGTTTGTCGCTTAGGATTAGAAAGGAAAGAACCAAACATTGCTGCCAAACATTTAACAATAATCGCAGCATTTCAAACTAAATGACGCCATAACTGATGCCACCAATAATGTACTGAGATATTCCTGACGTCTTTTTGTTTTAGGTATGACATAATGACAAACTGTTGGAAAGATGATCCTGACTTGAGACCATCTTTTGAAAACTTGAAGGACGAACTGAAAGAAATGGAAGACCAGCACAAGGTAGAATTGTAAACTTTACAAAGAGACTTTTTTAAGCTTTGGCCGTTCTAAGTTTTATCTCGTGCACACAAAGGTATACTTGTGGAATATCGTAAATCTCAAGTTACCGTTGTTTTGAAGCTATTTTGACTAAATTCTAAGGAAAAACTTACCGATCGGAATTCCACTCACTAATTATGAACAAGCTTGAAAGCCAGTTCTGAAGTTACGGAAAGAGGATTTACTTGCATTTCATGGTATTCTCTGAATCCATTAGCGAGAATCCGAAGTAAATACGATGTCGTAGTCAGGTAATAGTAGTTAACTCTTGTGGACGTTTAGGTTTAGTGTGTTAATAGGTACACTCTTACTATCCTTATCTCTTTCTATTGAAATCGAATTTTTCAATTTACCCCTATAAAATGCACTTGATAATGGCGTCAGCATGAAGGCACATAATTCTTTTATTTTACATCGCTTAATTTCAAAATATATTATCTCACTACGTGGTATTAAAAGTCATTTAGAAAAAGGGTATATTAGAAGATCACGCAATACTTCACATAAGCGATTGATTTTTTACCTTATTTTCAGGGCCTGATAAACTTGGACAATTACGAGGATCGACTCTACGTTAATGCTGACGATCTTGACGCATAAGTAATTTAATTCGGCTCACGGAGCAAAGGATGGAGTGATAAATCTTCAAGCCCTATGAGATCGTAAACTTTTTTAGATTTGATGTTAAACCTTTCATTCTGTTTTAATTAAGCAAGTAAACAAAAAATGTCTAGCAGTGAAGAGAGGCAAATTATAGCTTTTAAATAGTTTTAGGATTTTTTTTGAACTTTTTTTTGTTTTGAAAAGACAAACGATTTTCTAAAGAAACATTTAAAGTAGCAACCCATAATTAGACTTGATATCGACTTTCGTGTAAAATGCGTTAAAAGTTATCGCTGTTCCAATAAATAACCTGGAAGGCGTTATAAATGTTGCAGCCATCCTACTGAACTTCGAATTTATTCTTCCCCATGTGAACTTGGTAAAGTTCATCACCTAAAAAAAACTCATTGGTTGGAGAGAGAGACCGCTTCTAAAGATTCCCGCTTTTAAAGATTCCCCATTTTAAAGATGCCCCACTCTCCAATCCCCATTCCTCTTTTTCCCGTTTCCTATTTTAAAGATAGTCACGGAAGAACGTTCGTCCTATCTCAACACTGTCAGCCTTTACACAAATATTTGAAAAAACTGGTTTACAAACAACTTATTTCCTATTTTGAGAAACTTGACATTCTTTTTGAATGTCAATTCGGATTTTGTAAGGGTAGGTCCACCGCTCAAGCCATAACTGAAGTTATGGATACTTTAAGAAAAGTAATTGGCAATGAATTTGTATACATACGGCATTTTATTAGCTCTCTCGAAAGCTTTCTACACGGTCAATCATAGTATTCTCCCCAAAAAAATTAGAGTCATATGGAATAAGATGGTTACCGCTGGCCTGGTTTGAAAGTTGCCTTACAAACAGGAAACAATACGTTGCCTTTGGTGATACTGAGTCGTCCTATCAAACTATAGTCTATGGTGTCTCTCAAGATAGTTCGTTAGGCCCTTTCCTATTCTTGATATAGATTCACGACTCCCTAATTGCTCTGAGTTCCTTTCATTTAAGATTTTTGCGGACGATACTAGCTTGTTTACTTCTGCAAAAGATGTACAATCATTAGAATCACGCCATCTCGCTGCCACCAAAGGCATTCATTCGACCGCGACAGGATGCAAATGTCTCACGCTTCATTTTAAAACCATGATGCTATGAAAACACACAACCTGTTCGAGGCCGATTACGGCCGCTTAAAGGGAAAGTACGGTCTAGAAAAATTTACTTACATCAAAAGGTCATTGCTTGCATTGTCCTAACTGGCTATTCATTTGAGCTAAAAGCATTTCGGATGCGAAAAACTACGTTCCAAAAACCGGAATCTTTCGTAGCAATAGCTAAGCAAGCTAATTTCTATCCCTGCTGAAATGGATGTAAACAAGGAAAACAGTGACGAGTAGAGCGTTACTGATTAAATTCTCGACATGGATTTTAATCTAGCCGAGAGGGTGTAATGCATCCATTTATGTTTCAAACGAAACGTGGCTCGTCTTCAGGGAAAGAAGATACCTCTGGGGGGAGAAAGGAAGAGGAAGTTAAGAAAATGAGTTTCAGAGAGAAACGTCCACCCGCTCAGTCTCTCACGTCTTTGATATCGCGAGTGATTCTCTTGCGGTAACTGTCAAGAGATCCCTATCGAAGACGAGTATGTATGCTCCCGAGAATTAAATATACTAGGACAGTGACTCGCTTTGAAAGGCAAAGGTTTTTTCCCTAAAAAAAATCCAAGCTCTGGAGCGATGGGTATTTTTACTAATGGAGGAAGACCGCACTGCCCGCGACGGATTAATTTCACATTCCTACCTCAGAATGAAACGAGTTGTTTTTGCAATCTCAGGGACCCAGCTTCGGTGTCAAACTGGATACGAGTTATTTGGAACTAAGAACAGCCCCAGTTGACATGAAAATCATTCTTTTTACGCGTAGACACCGACAAAATTGATTAGAAACACTTAGTTGCCGAAATTAACGCAGACCAAAGGCAGAAGTAAATTGTTACGAATTAATTTTGCTTTTCTCAGCATTCACCCTTAATTCACAATAGTAATAATAATAATTATAATAATGATAATAATAATCAACTTTATTTAACGAGGGTAAAACGGGACACTACTTCAACTGAATAACTAGTGCCCCTCAAACTCAATTTATAGAACAAAGCGCAATGTTTTTCATTCTGAATTAAAGTGTTTGAAATGTCGCGACATGTTAGCAGTAGAGCTTTGGTACTTACGGCGCGCGTCAGAAAGTCGCCTTTGTCATACAGGTTTTTACATTAAAAATCAATTTAAATAAAGCTAGAAAGAAACTTTCGATTTCTTTGGAAAGCACAAGCACTGCATTATTATGTCAAGTAGTTGGCTGAAAGGCATTAAATATTGTCAAATTATTGCTATCGCATCCAATCCATATGGAATACGTCGTAAATCATGTAATATCCAAGAAAGCTTGTTTCTCACTACAACAGTCGTAAAAATGTGCAACTTCAAAGAAGTCTCGTCGTTAATCCAAAGCAAAATGGACAAAATGGCTGTAATTTTTTTTTAACTCCTGATAAAAAAAAATTTTCTAACTGAGATAAACTTTCTCTAGACCGCACTTTTCCTTTAAAGGCCTGTTTTTATGGATAGGGCGTTGCGTTACATAAATGATGCAACGCCTTCAGAGGGGGCACGCCGCCTGGCCCACCTAGTTCTATGGTTACACTTTCAGATCATCCAGATGCAATGAGATAAATTACGTTCAGCTGATCGAAAATGAAATTTACACTTTTTTCCCCTCCTTCAAATCCGTGTGTAACAACTTTACGAGAGATCTTCCCTAAAATCATGCCTCTTCTCTGGGACTTATCTTTTACCCGAACAACAGCAGAATATTTACGAAAAGAACTGCGCAAATATTTTTCAGAAAATTCTAGTATTGGACCTGTTTCAGTGCCCTACGTGATTAAAATACCTTGTTTATTCCAAATAACTCGGCGTGGTCGCAAAGGTCTGACCTCTTTTGTGTGTGCTGCTTAGATTTGAGCATATTGACCATGTTGGTCTTCCGGCCTTGCGCAGTTGTCATCTTTTGACATTATATAAAAAGCTGAAGAAGAAGAGGGAAGTGCTGTGGATAGCAATATCTATACCTCATGGAGTTAGCACTTGGTTAAGTCCTTAGATAATGAGTTTATTTCATACCACTTTAGTTCTTTGGCTAGCTCTAGTCCTTATTTCACACGAAGTTTCAGGAGAAATAGGTAAGAGTTCGCATTTCACGACTGGGAAGACGTTTCAGGCCCATTTCGGACGTAGTGCTTCTGCCATATCGAATTCACGAAAATATCGAATTCCAGAAAAGCGTAGTAGAAGCGCAGCGTCTGAATTAACCTTTTTGATATTTTACATACTTAAAAAATGTTTTTAACAAATATTTCAATATTTTAAATTTCAACCAACTCTGCCGCGCTACACGATTCTGGCACGAAAGCGATTTCAACGTTGTGCCTCTGCCGGGGTAAAAAAAAAATTACATCCAAAACAAGATATATTTTTACAGAACTGTTTTCTCGCGGGGAATTAGGAGAATAAATTGTCACTTGACTTCGGTGCAACTCTAGCCCGACGTCTGAATCAGTCTTGTCTGCGGTACCATACTTTTCGAGCCTCAACTAAGCTGTCCGTGTTAAATCGAATAGATAGAAATGTTACTGAAGGCTATTTCATTTCTTTCCCTTTTTGACCGGAAGCTATAGCGAGGGTAGAAACCTTCTCGTGAACCGATGCTATAGCTTTTTGTAAATACCTCGCTCGAGTCAGAGGTTTTAACATACGTACTTTATGGGGTGTTAGGAAAGACTTGGGCTTTTTCTGAAAAATTTTTAAGGAGAGCGTTTCGGTTGATACTTCAACCTATCTCAGCTTAAGATGCGGGAAATTGAAAATGATGAAAATCTCGAGGATAATAAGCTCGAAAGATCAACGTGAACGGCTAACTTTTTCTACATCTTATGACTGATATGTCAGACCACACATTTATAGGTTGTTACATGCTTAGCTTCAAAGCAATCGCAGCATAGGAATTCTGCTAACTGACTAATGTCAAACCAAAATACAATTCCCAGTCACATATACGGTCACATATACAAAAAGGTGGGATGCGCATATAAATCGCACATAAGCATACACATGTCTGTCTCATTAGCATGTATTACCTAGCTTATTGTTCTCCTTTTGTTGACGAACTGCTCTTAGGCATAGACTATATATACGACTACAAACTGCTCGAGCTGACTTCCCGATATACTGTTACATAATTATGCATGCGACTTCGTACTAGGAATATATTAAAGGGTTATTACTTTCGGATGGAATTCTGCTGACGAAATCAGTTTCTCATCACTTTGCAAAAGACTGCATGAGTCGCATCGCTTTGCGAATCATATTTCCTCTCTTTCGGTAGAATATAGAAAGTACCCTAGAGATCCTAGGATTCAGAAGTTTTAAATTATCCATGGTTTGATTCTTTTAACAAATTGTTGCAAGAACTTGTGTTAAAATTTTCTTGCACGGATTTCCACGGAAAATCACCTTCATAAATCAAACTGAGGTCCGCTTCATGCACGTCATCATAGTTATCTCATATGTCAATACAACCACTTATGGTCTCCACCCCTTCGGATACAGCTCTGCAAACATGTGAAACAAACTAACAGAGGACCTGAGGTCCCTGACGTCGTTGAATGAGTTCAGATATAATATATGTCAATTTTCTTTCGAACATGAAATTTCCTTCGAACATAAATGTAACTGTTACTTATGCAAATAGTAGTTTAATGTACTGCATATAATATAGGACACTATTTGTTTTTATTTATTTTATTTACTTATTTATTAATGTACTTAATTTTTTCCCTTTCTCGGAGAAATTAGCTATATACCTACTCTTTTAAAATAAGAGGTGAAATAAAGGTGATGTATGTATGTAGGTATGTATGTATGCCAGCATGCATGCATGTATGTATGTATGTATGTATGTATGTATGTATGTATGTATGTATGTGTGTATGTAGGTAGGTAGGTATGTATGTATGTATGTATGTATGTATGTATGTATGTATGTAGGTAGGTAGGTATTTGTGTATGTAAACACGTGCAACAGCTCGATCCGTTTGCTGGGTTCCAGTAGCTCTTGCCAAAAACGTTTTGTTTCAAATAAAGTCTATTCTCATAAGGTCGTAGTAGTAGCAAGTAGGATAAATATTGTAGGAAATATTCAACTTTTTTTAGAGACATGTTTCGGCATGCTTATGCCATCTTCAATCAATGAGTAACTGAACGTGAGTAATTATACAACAGACAAGTGGATGAATAAAATATTTACAGTATGATGTAATACAAAAGCGGGTACTAATTAGAGCGTGACAACAAACATGAAATTAAAGGTGTGAACTAAAATGCTATAAAAGCGTTATAATGCTGTAATTGTTTGTTAAGTTCAGGTCTGATATTATTTATATAACAAGCTTCTTTCAGTTTTAAATCAATTGAGTTGTTGGCAGAATCCAGAATACTAAAGCAAGAAGGGGAGTATTTGTTCTTACAAGAAGGAAATGTGTTAAAATGCTTAAAAATCTGCGAGTTTTTATCGCTTTCCGTGTGCTCCTTTATCCTAGTAGAGAAGTGGCGACTAGTTTCGCCAATATAACGGGAATTACATCCCGCACAAGAAAATTGATAAACTACCATGGATTTTAGAGGATCAGGAGTACGATTTTTAACACTGAACATGTTTATAATGAACATGTTTCTTTCAAAATTATTCTTTCAAAATTTTTTAAGAGTTTATAACGTTAACACTCCTTTGCAGAAACTCTCATTGAGGAACCTGGATCAGACCTTTGGTACTGGACTGTCTTTATAGAGAAAAATGGAGGAGCTGGGGTGAGTTACTTGATTTTCATAACCCATATTGTAAAAACTTTTCTTAAGTGTACTATTAAACATTACCTTTATCGGTATTAGGTACTCGTATACATAGTTTGTAACATTAAGGCCCACTTATCCCAGAGATCAAGGTAAAGGTTAAAAACATGATTCATAAAATGATTTAAGTGATAGGTAGTTTGCAATACAAGTAAATTTGAGCAGGAAGATTTTGTGGAAGAAGAATATAAGCCCATTAAAAAACCAGCACAAGTAAGTTGATGTACAATAAGTGATCTGAAATTCTTGTTATCCCAAACCTCCACAAAACTCCAACCGATTATTTCCCATGGATTTGGTCCACACTTATTCTGTATTATTAGCTATGACAATGTACATCTTATATGCAAAGAAAATGAAAGAGATTTTATTTATCTTGGGACCTTTAATCATATCAATCAAGAAGTGAGTTAACAGCATTTTCGTTTATTTGTCACATTTTTCGAGAGATATTTTTAACAAAGCAACAGAGAACTTTTAACGTGTTTACAAACTTTCATCTAAACAACTGATTTCTTTCTCAGATATTTTTTGTCAACATTTTCGGAAAATTAGACTTTGACCATCCTTATTTTTATGATGAGCCTGATTAAACGAACTATTTACACAGTAATTACATAAACCAGGTAACTGATGTTTTTTTTCCTCCACATCTGTAATAATTTCAGTATTCTTCTTCCTATCCCACAATAAAGTCGAACTTCCAATGATTTTGAGATTTAGCAGTTCAGATAACGGGGAGACAATTATAAGTCAGTGACAATCAGAGGTATTTATTATTCGAAAGAGGTCAAAGCTTCCATGCATGAACTACTCAGGTTTTTGGTACATATTGCATGAAAAAGCACATGCGCTATAAAACTGTGTCAATTGGGGTTTTGTTTCAATAATGTGATAATTAGACTTGGTTATTTTTAAGAGATCTCTATTCATGTTGAACACCCCCTGAATGTATCAGCTCATCTTATAGTAGTCAATATTCACTTAGTACATGTGCACAAAGTCTCGTTGAAGTGCACCTGCAGGTGTGTTGTGCAGACACCCATCACTTTTGGGGTGAGTGTTTATTAATTCAGTAATATGATTCTTTGGTCTCTTGCAGTGGAGTCATCCTTCGTCTCAAAGTACCGTGTACGCAGTCTGTGATATTGCTAGCAAAAATGAGGAACCAAAGAACTGGTTACTAACAGAATACATTTACATCAAAGGTGCTACACGACTCAATATTGAAGTCACCTATTCCCTTCTTAACTGCCCCTTAGCTAGCGTGGGGCCATTCTGCAGAACTAACTTCACCCTTTATTCTTATCATACGGATTACAAATTAGATTATGTTCCAGACCCAACAAATTTAAAGTTCCAAAAAGAAACTGTCATTGCCCCAGACACTCTTCCTGCGCCAGATCGACGCACAATAGACACATTTCGTGGGTCAATAGTAACAAAAGCAAAGATAATTTATTTGGCTTTATTAGATCAAGGAGCATGCTTGACAATAAGTAAGTTTGTTGTAAGATATCGTTTCTGCTCTGAAACGGCCGCTGCTCTCGTTAAATTTCCAAGAACAGTTGCCCCACCAAATAATATTAATTCAACTAATCATGAAGGAGAATGTACAGATCCTCACTCACTTAAAAGAAACAACCAAAAGATATTTGGCGTGTGCCTCAGTAATGGGGAGTGGAACATCACAAGTAGCTCAGCCTGCCTTTGCAATTATGGTTATGAACTAACCAATGGATCTTCAGACTCTTTTGTATGCAAAGGTTAGTGCTGGAATTAAAACTTGGATTTGCCTCTGAAGATTAGGATCCAAAATAAATATCAAATCATTTAAATGGTTAAACATTTAAATGACCACCCTGTTTAATTTGTTCATCATTTTTTACTTCTTAGTCATGCTCATTATGATGACATAGACTCCTTCGGTGAACGTAGATAAATGGCTTAGGAAAGAAAACCCTAGAACAAATACGCTTTTTCTGCAAAGTATCTTTTAGCAAAGTAATGTTTCGTTTTTCTTCTTCTAAGCGTTTTTTTTTTTCGCAGATAGATGCATTTATCGTATTAGGTTCTTCGCTTTTGGGTCTTGGTTTTCAAGTCTTAGTTGCAAGTTTAAAATATTTATGTATACATGTTGTTCAATGACCTAAGTGATAGTCATTGTGAAAGTCATCAGCATTGAAGACAAAATAAGTTGTCTTGGTAACAAAGCCTCTAATTATATAATAATGGCTGGTGCCAGGGTTATCAAATATTTTTTTGAAAATATTTTTTTGAATATATTTTTTTTGAATATATTTTTTTGAAAAGCACATCACAGGGTCATTGCACTGATTTGTTCTAAGAAAAACGCATGTCGATGATAATACACATTGTTTCGTTTTAGAGTGTCAAAGGGGCTTCTATAATCTATATTACTACAGATCATCCATTGTCGCAGATTGTGAGGGTATGTTAATTATTAATGATCATCTTGTCCTCATCATTCCAGGGTGATAAAAATTGTAATGTTCAGAGAGGTTGTCTCATAGCATTTATCGAAGGTTGTCTCATATAATTTATCGAAAGGACTAACTCGTTCACGCTTAAAATATCGATCAAGATGTGCAACTGTGATAAAGCAACCTACAGGTATCATGCCTGCAAATATCACAAAGAAACTGGACTAGTGCCATGAAGTTAATGACTTGTCTGGGGACTTGCTACTCGTAAAAATCGTATAAAGTACCCCCTCTTGTTAGAAAATTATTCCTAGATGAATCTTGTAGAAGCCCACTAAGAGCTGGAAGAGGCTCGCCCTGAAGACTTGCCGGAGAAACCAGTCTTCTTTGATGCTATTTGCAATATAATGAAATCATAACCCATTAATAATTTTCTTGGATAACCTGTAAAATGTTTGAACCACATAGCAAAGATTACGGTACCTTGGTTCCTATTTAGATTTTTGCTAATGATATTTGTTTTCATACGGAAAATGAAATTTAAGTCATGATATGCTAAGACTTCTTCAAAATATCATCAAATCTACTTTCATTCGTGTCTTATTGTAGTTTCTTTTACTCTACATATACAGTCTTTGTAAAGGTAATTAACATAACCATGGTCATTACCAGTGAAAGTTGCACTGATGGAAAATACGACGAATCCTCATTACTGGCGAGAATCGAAGAAGTGGTAACTATTTTGTTTAGAGTAGTATTTCCTTAGCCATTTATTTATATTGTTATTACTACTACTTCTGCTGTTGCGCTATACACCTTTGCCATAATGGCGGAAAATGCGATGGAGGTCTGAGACTGGTTTTGAATAATTTCACGAAAGCGAGGCCACCCGGGCAACACATGGCGACGCGAATACAAACTTTCACAATTCCTGGAGCTTTTTAACCGAAAATGACATTCCTGGAGCTTCCTTATGAGATAGAAATCTCTCACAATTCAATACTGAGGACTTGAGACTATGGTTGAAGGGCAGAGGTGACCCAGCGAAAGGTTTAAAGACAAAAGCAGACCTTGTGAAAAGGTTAGTTTCGAGCACGAGATGAGTACTTCGAGGTGTTTTTATTGCTTGAGAGAATTGTCAATTGTGATTACTTACACTTAAATTGACCTAATTTCTTATAATTTAGGGTCCTTTAATACATCAAGAGCGGAAAGGATAAAAACATCATTGATCCTGATCCCAATAATCTTTATTCTAAACGAAAACAACTACGCTCGGCAAACAACACAAGCTCACACTCCACCGCTAAACGACATGTTCCCGTCAAGTTCCCTGAATCTAGTATGTGGAGCTACTCACTTCAGAAGATGCCTCTGTTTACCAGAGCGGAATTAAACAATCATATAACACGTTCTGGGGTCTAGATAATTGTATATTTCCATTAAGACACCGTTGTTACGAAACGAAGTGTAGCAGGACACAGCAGAAGTGTCGGCGCGAAATCTTTCAATAGAAAAAAGTCTACTCTTTAAATATTCATTCTTCTTTGAAATGCTTTCTATTTCTCTTTAGAGCTCTTCTATTCTCATTTCATACTGTTTCACAAGCGCGACAACTCTCTTATCCCTCTGAATGCATGCATCCTTCGACTCGACCAAATCGGTCTGAGTTTCGGCATCTTTTCTCTTTGCCTCCTTTTCGACATTCTTTTCATTAGATTCTACAGTTGCAATCTGACTCTGTAGCTGTTCATTCGATTTATCATTTACGCTGCTTTCCGAGTGTACACGCCATGAATAAAGCCCTGGATGATTGATGAGTAGTTGCTTTACTAGTGAATCTTTGAGGTGGAGGCTTCCTTTTGCACGGCGAAGTACGCCGCTGAAATACCAAAGGTACAGCATTGGTTTGAAGGCATATTTCTCCCTCAATACTTTTCTTCAAGTCTTCCACTTTAAAATGGTGCGAGCAGACCATGGTTGAGTCCAAGACTTTGAA